GAAAGAAAGAAAGAAAGAAAGAAAGAAAGAAAGAAAGAAAGAAAGAAAGAAAGAAAGAAAGAAAGAAAGAAAGAAAGAAAGAAAGAAAGAAAGAAAGAAAGAAAGAAAGAAAGAAAGAAAGAAAGAAAGAAAGAAGAAAAAGGGAGGGAGGAAAGGAAGGAAGGAAGGGAGGGAGGAAGGAAGGAAGGAGAGAGAGAGAGGAGGGGAAAATCAAGTAAGCAAGAATTAATGCTGTTTAGAAAACTTTTGGACCAAAAATGTTCATAACAAGCCAAAATGATGTCAAAAGGACAATGCATGACATCATCACACAAATGGCATAATTATGTAATAATGTCATCATCTGCCCCTCATCCTCTTACTGTTCTGCAGATAAACATGCTTTAATGAAGAGCAAAAAGATGCTTTAAAACCAAAGAACCAAAGTATCATTTTAAGCTTAAAATGAGGCAGTGGATGAAGTTATATGTCAGGTTAAAATACATTCAAACTTATTGTCTAGCAAAATAATTTCCTCTCCATAAGTTAAGGAAATCAATCATGAGTTTTCTTAGCAATGATAATATCTTAAGAGTCAAGCTACTTCAAATTACTTTCCATTATGTCCAACCTTCTGCTGTCAAGCAACTCCCAAATAAAGATCTCTTAATTCAACCTACCTTACCCATATATTATTGAAACATGTTTTACCAATTTAAAAACATACAGAAAAGGCCAGGAACTAAGCTTTTCTGTCCTATTTTCAGTATGAACATCCTTCTCTTTTATTTTAGACTCGGCCTTTATCACTATGTAGTGAGCACTGCCATCCTGGCTCTAGCAAAAAAGTAAGGGAAGGGGAGCCATTTTGCTGTTATGACTGTGTCCTGTGTCCCAAAGGGAAGATTTCAGACAAAGAAGGTAAGGAATATTAGTTTGCAGATAGGAGATAGATGACTTCATTTTGAGAACCAAGTTTGATTGCATGAAATGGTCAGATCTGCTCCAAGCTTACTTTGGATTTTATAGATAATCCTCAATTTATCACCAGGCAGGTAGCAAGTGTTCAAAGTTATGGAGGACCATCCTCAGGGTACTTACAATCCAGTTACAAAATTATGAAGGACCTCCCTGGAGTATTTATGACTCATTTCTGAAGTTCTACAAGCCAACTTCCATGCTCTCCCATGGTCACATGACCACATTTTAGGTGCTCAGCAGCTGTCCAACATTTATGGCTGTTTGTGATATCCCACATTCACATGACCATGTTTTACAATTTTATTTTATTTTATTGCTGAAAACTGGAATTCACTTCTGATTTTCCAAAAAAATACCCTCATAGTGAATCATTGGTTTCCTCAACAACTGGGATGTTCACTTAATAACCACCACAAAAAGAGTAATCTGGTCATGTGATGATCCATTTTATAACCATCACAACTTATTACCATGATGGGCAATCTCCATTAAGATAGTAACTTGAGGACTCGCTGTATGTTTAGATAATGGTCATGTGCCAACAAGTCAATGTTAGAACATAGAATAATAAAATTGGGAAGTCTTCTAATCCAACCCCTCACTCAAGCAGGAGACCCTATACCATTTCAGACAAGTAACTGTCCAGTCTCTTCTTAAAAACCTCCAGTGATAGAGCACTTCAAAGCATTCCATTAATTAGTTGTTCTCACTGTTAGGAAATTTCTCCTCCGTTCTTGGTTGCTTCTCTCCTTAATTAGTTTCCATCCATTGTTTTTTGTCTTGCCTTCTAGTGCTTTGGAAAATAGGTTGATTCTCTCATCTTTGTGGTAGCCACTCAAGTATTTGAACATTGTTATTCTGTGTCAACCCTTAGCAATCTCATAGGTACATTTTCTCCAAGATGATTTTCTGTCCATGCAGTTTTCTTGGAGTGGTTTACCATTTTCTTCTCCAGTGATCAGTTTGCCACCTCCAGCATTTTCATTCATTGCAGTTGCCCAATGTAGGTCCCTGCATTTTTGGCTGGGCAGCTGGATGATCTTCACACTTTGGGTGGGAGTTTAAACTCTTGGCACACAATTCCAGCTTTCCTCACTCATCCCTTCCAGAAACATCTGCCTGCTCCTCCCTTGCCATGATAAGACAGCACAGCAGAACTTCATGGAGAGATTTGGGATATGATTCATTTTAAAAAGTGTTGCTCTATTATGGAAAAAAAATCCAAGGTGCTGTCATATTTATATTTTCAGCCCAAATGAAAGAAGCTTGCAAGGTATGCTAGAGCTTTTTAAGGACACAAAGCCCACTGTCAGACCATGGTCCCTCTAAATCCCAAGAAAGAAATACTCAGACTCCATGGTGTAGAGCAGAATTATTCTTTTACTGGAAAGTAAAGTGGAAC